AAATGATAACTAATAATAATGTCAAACAATACAATAATAAATAACAATACAAGAATAAACTCTGTTTTGCATATTAACAGCTGTAAACCTACTTTTTCTCACTCTCATATGTGTTTTTCTTGCTGTAATTGTGATTTGAACACTATGAACTTTCAGTTTTCCAAGAAAGCTCCTACTTCCCATGCAGTGATTACGAGGTACTGGGGTCCAGGATGGGTAAGTAAGGCAGGCCCTCCCCACTTTCTAAGAGGAAGACAGCAGCTACCTATGGGTGGTACATGCAAACAACTACAATACAATATCGTGAGCTACAAAACGTTACAGACAAGTGACCTTTGCATTCTACCTGAGGAAGTTAGGATGGGTCACAGGGGAGATAACATTGGATTTCAAAGGCTAAGTAAGTGTTTGACAATTTTGCATGTTTAGGAGACTAAAAGTCCCTGAAAAGGATGACTCATTCAAAGGGTACCATCTACCAGCTAATGTGCTAAATAATAATGAATAATAATAGTCACCATCTCTTCGTAAGTGTTTATGTGTTCAGCACAACTATTACCTCACTTAATTCTCACATTACCCTAAGAAGTAAGTACTATTATTATTGTCTCATTTTATAGACATGTCGAGGCACGAAGAGTTAATGTAACTTGGCCAAGGTCTCATGGCAAGTGGCAGATCTGAGTCAAGTCCTCTCCATCTAATTCCAGGCCCATCTCTCAACCACCATGTCCTAAAAGCATTCTTGTTATTTCTCTGCCCAGCTAATGTTAAGGAAGTCAAGGGGAGGAACTTGTTAGTTATAAGTTGATCAGTAGGAAGGTAATGAACTAATTAATAAATAAGAATGAAATCACAGGTAGTAAAAGCTAGTAGAAAATAGATTTAAAAAACACACACACAAAACAACAACAACACTGTACTTTCAGGTACCCTGGTTGCTAGAGAATAACCTCCTACTGGTAGTTGGAGAATGTCCCTTTTACAAAGAGCAGATTGTTTCGACGTGAATAATCTAACAACAGCTGTGGTAAAGATATTCTGGCAAAACCGGGGTCATCAGGCCCAGAGAGTAACTGCAAGACTGTCCATCCCATTGTTCAACCAGGGGTTCACTTTTGCAAAAAAGGAGCCAGGATCAAAGAAAGAGAGCGTCCATTAATAATTGCATGTGGATATTTCCACTTCTGTACAATCAGTTTCCATTGGAATACAGATCTTTTCAAATGGGACTTTTTATTGGAAGACATTAATAAATCCGTGCAGTTGAAAGAGGGTGGCATCTGGGGCCTGGAGAAGTTAGTGGTATCCAGGCTCCAAACAGAAATACTGAGTAGCCTGGCTGGCTGCTCCATGTCCTGATGGAGCATGGCTCGGCCTGGCACAGGGCCTCGACAAAGAGTCATTATTATACCTAAGGGGAGCTGTTAAGCAAAAATGGACAGATTTCAATTAGGTCTCATTTTTTTTTTTTTAAACATATGTCTCTGGGGAACTGCTGTCAATATTATCTTGACCATTAGATATTAATGGAAACAAGTAAGATAAGCACATTTTTGTCAAAAAAGGAAATATTTTTTAAATGTGACTCATGTTTAAGATTATAAACTTGAATCCAATGAAAAATGTTTTTCTTTTGATTTAAAAGACTTTACAAAGTATGTTCTATTCTTTGTCTTGACCAAGAATCCACACTTAATACGGGGAATAATAGAAGTTAGAGAAATTGAGAAAGGGGTGATATCTTAGTGGGAATGATTAGTAGGAATAATCCTATATAATAAATAAATATGCTAAGTGTTCAGTTGTCAGTTCAACTAATCAAAGTATAATATGTTAATGATATGCTAAGACTGCTCAACCACTCGCTATGATATGCATTGACCACCAGGGGGCAGACAATTGACCAGTTGCTATGAGGTGCAGTGACCACCAGGGGGCAGAAGCTCCAACCAGTAGGTTAGCTTGCTGTTGGAATTCCAACGGATTGGAACTGAGCAAGACAGGCCAGACACACCCTAGAGCCCTCCCAGGCCTCTCCCTTGAGCCAGCCCCACCCCCAATTGGCTCCCAAAACCCTGATCAAGGGGCAGGAAAGGCCAGCCAACTGCCTGAGGCCCCAACCTTAGACCCCACTGTGCATGAATTTGTGTACCAGGTCTCTAGTTTTATATAATACATGAGATTGTTGTTTTGTTTTTGCCAGGAGATCAAGCCATTTAACTAACACATCCTTCTTCTTTGAAAAAAGAAATACACACACACACACACACACACACACATATATATATATATATATATATATATATATATATATATATATATATATAATTGTTTTTAATAGAGGAACGAAGAGGGAGAGAAAGATAGAAATATCAATGATGAGAGAGAATCATTGATCAGCTGCTTCTTGCATGCCCTCCACTGGGGATCAAGCCTACAACCAGAGCATATGCCCTGACCAGAAATTGAACCATGACCTCCTGGTTCATAGGTAGATGCTTAACCTCTGAGTCATGCAGGCCGGGTCCCAATGCATTCTTCTTATGGTTTCAGGAGTCAGAATTGATTTGAGAAACCCTATTTTACACAAAAATGTGATTGTAAAGGTTTTAATCAAGACCCTACAAGTTGATGTCAGGGTGAACAGATACTACAATGGAATTTAACTCCCAGAGACCAAAAGTTGCTGCTACTCTCCGTTTGTCTAACTTACTTTGTGGGATACCACTGTCCAACCATTCAATGAGCAATGAACAGTTCAATTTGAATTAGATTATTTGGAATCTTGATGGAATCAAAAGAAAAAATAAAGACAAGTTTTAAAAACTAGGTAAGAGAGTACTCATTCTATTTTTAGTACAATGTTCTATAAAATAATAAATTCATTCCCAGTATATTCTGGAAATAGGAGAGAAAAAAAATGTAGGCAGAGGCATGCAAATGGGAGGGGAAATTATTTGCAATTATCTGAATTTATGAAATATATTTGGCCCAAAACAACCTACAATGTCTTATATTAGAAATTATAGAGGTGATATTATATTTTAACTATGAGTTTTAAATACCATGATTCAAGATAAGATCGTGGTCTTGAGATAGTCATACTATATATGTTTTGGATACTTAACTTGTTTGAAATTTATTTACATTTTTGGTGCATATTTTATTCAATAACAAAAATTTTCCCTTAAAATATGCTGCTGTTAAACAGCTTTCTCCCAAAAGAATGTCCCTGCAATCTCACAGAAGAAACACTTGATTACTAAGCTTCTAGCTAATGTAAATAAAAGCATTGAGATCCTCATCATTTGACTCAAAGTAGAATCTGAGTGTGTTTGTGAATGTGTGATGATACTAATTTGTGTCCTTCCATCACCATCCTGAATTTATGGTAGCCAATGCCTTGCTTTTCTGGACAAATTTGCCACTACACTGTTGCCACCTATATATGCACCACTAAACTGCATTTATTTTTTTTAATTTAAAAAGTTTTCATTATAATTCCCATACAATGTTGTATTTCTTTCAGAAGTGATTCAACTTTTACAGACCTTACAAAGTAATCATCACAATAAATCTAGTAACACCTGTCGCTGTACATAGTGATTACAATACAAATGACTATCTTCCTTATGCATTATGTTCCCATGACTTGTTCTATTATATAACTGGAAGCTTATACTTTTAAATTGCCTTCTCCTTTTCTGCCTATCTCCCTGTCCCTCTCCCCTTGGAAACCATCAGTTTGTTCTCTCTTACTTTGTTTCTGAAACCATGTACTTTTAATTCTGTTTTTTTGCTTTACATGATTATACTTACACTGTGTATTTTGTTTTAGGCCCAGCTTTTAAAAAGTTTGTTATGCTTTTAAAAAGCAACTCTGTTTTTGTATGAGGATGTAGCTTAATGTTCATTATTGTTTTAAAAAATCCATTATATGAATCTATCTATTATCTATTAATGAGCATTTGGGGTGAAGATATTATAAATAATGTTTGGATATGTTTCCTGGTATGGATAGCCATACACTTCTTCAGGGTACATGCCTAAGATTGTGCTGGGGGTGGGGAGGTCATAGTTATTGATTTTAATCATCTTTAAATGTTTTAACAATTTTCTAACCTGTGCTTCTATTATGTCATTCAGTAATCGTCATTTTATTAGACAAAAAATCTTCCATTTGTGACTAAATTTTATAGCCTGGTCTTTTGTAGTAAATTCACTCCTCCACTTTCTAATGTATTCATAAAAATGATAAAAATCTTAAAACTTAGAGAATTCATAGCAATTTCCTGAGTTATGTTCTGTTACGTAGGCAAAGAAGTTTGTTGTCATGGTAAACATTGAAGCAAAAATATTTTAAATAATTTTAGGAATTTTTTATTGAGTTATATTTAACATGCAACATTGTGTACATTTAAGATATGCAAGATACTGATTTGACACATTTATATTGTAATACGATTGTCATACAATCATTATCCAACATCTCTCTTGGATCACGCAATTGTCATTTCTCCTAGAGTTTTGTATAACTAAAATCAAGTCTCTTAGAAGGTTTAATGTTCATAATAGTGTTGTTTTGCTTTTTTGTCTATAATCATTGTGCTATATATTAGGTCTTCAGGATTTATTTATCTACTAGTTACAAGTATGTACACTATACAACATTTCTCCCATTCTCTCCACCAGAAGAATTGTTGTTTTCAAAAGTGTCATGAATGTTTCCTGCCAGGAAAATCCTAGAATTCGATTTAACTCTTTTGTTAAAGGTGCAGTTTTTAGCTACACAACTGTGTGATAAAATGAAATTAAAGTGCCATATTTTCAAAGTCCACCCTTTGACATCTTCTTCCTGACTTCTCTGAGAGTAATTTTAGAGTTTCTCTATGCAGGCTCCCTGCCCCTCAGCTTCATACACTACCTAGCTATCCAATAAAACCTTTTACTGTGCTTTGACCCAGGAACCAAGGTTGCTAAGAGACCACCTGTGCTGAATGCACTTTGTTCTAACAAGAGCAGACCGAGAGAAAACCAAAGAGCCGTGTTATCTGCCACAACCTGGGATTGAGTCAGGTGAGAAATGGATTCTACTTTTCAGTCTTTACCAGTTCATTCTGTCTTTCCCTCACTTCCTATTTGAGTCCCTCTCTCTCACTGTTGTTGGAGGGAATTGAAGGTAGCCTTCAGGGCGCAAACAAAGGAAACGGTCTGGAGGCTGAGTTTATAGGAGAGAAAGCCACTTTACAAGCCTGTGTGTTATTCTCCCCCCTTGTTTCTGTAGCATAGGCAAAACGGTGAATGTAAAGGAAATTCAAGGTGTTTACTTTGCTAGTGATTGCTGGATAATTTTTGAATGAAAATAGCACTAACCCAATCTTGCCACTTTTTAAGAGTCCTAATGTTCATTTCAAGTTGAGTGTCTATAAGGAACTCTGATGTATGCACCTGAAAATTCCTTATTTGAACTTGCATTCCTGAAAAAGGAGTTAACCCTAACCCTAACCCTAACCCTAACCTCCCTACCTGACTGACATTTGGTAAAATGTTCTAACAGTATGCTAACCCGATTATATATGAACACTTTTGCAAATTCTATTATGCTTTTTAAAATTCCAGCTATTTTTAAGCTGTTTGATTAACACTGAAATGTGGAGGAAATTGATTGATGCCACATTAAATGACCAGAATAGGAGTCATAGGATCCTGAGGGGGGGAAAATCAAGATAATGAAAAAGACCTTTTGTTGTTTTGATTTTTTATTTTGTTGATTTTCACCTGGGGATATTTTTTCCATTGATTTTCTAAAGAGAGTGGAAGGGAGGGAAGGAGAAAGAAGAGGAGGAGGATGACGACGACGAAGAGGAGAGAGATGTGAGAGAGACACATTGATAGGCCACTTCCCACACATGCCCTGAATGCACCCTACCTGTGGTAGAGATAGAACATGTAACCCAGGTACATACTTTTGGGAATTGAAACCGAGACCCTTTGGTTCTCATTTAATGGTCCAACTACTGAACCACGCTGGCCAGTGTGTTTCATTTTTTTAAATTTAAAAAAAAAGTTTTTTTTACCTGCCTTTTTTTAATCTCCTTGTAATCCCTACTGTATTATAGGTTGGAAGAATGACAATTTCATGGATACCATTGTAAAATAATGTAAATGACTTAGCAGATAAGACTTTATAAATACTGATAACATTAAAAAAAAGTTTTATTTGATAGTTCCTTGAACTATCCTGTTTAGTTTCTTTTTTAAAATTAAATATATTTTTGTTGATTTCAGAGGGGAGAGGCAAAGGAAAGAGAGATGGAAACTTCAATTATGAGAATCATTGATTGGCTTCCTCTTGCACATCTCTCACTGGGGATTTAGCTTGCAAGCCAGGCATATGCCCTGACTGGGAATCAAACTGTGACCTCGTGGTTCATAGGTCCATGCTCAACTACTGAGCCACACTGGCTAGGCTAGTTTCTTTTTTTTTTTTTAAATATTTACTTTTCAATTATAGTTGACGTACAATATTAGTTTTAGATATACAGGAGGGATTAGACATTTATATACATTACAAAGTGGTCGAGCTGTTTCTTTGAGAAAGAGAGGCAAATTTAGGATATAGAAAAATCTATGATTATGTAGCCAAAATGAGTGAAAAACATTTTAATTCATTAAGGAGTAAAACATTTAGTTCATTGGTTGGTTATAAATATGTCTAGTCTTGTGTAAAAGATGATTTCTCATCACTATTTCTTTATAGTGCAAATATTAGACTTAGTTTTTAAAAAAATCAGAATTATTATATAAATGTGTTCATTTCAGGATACCTCTCTCTTTTTTCCTCTAGGAAGCAGAATCATTCTGGATATGACATCTAAAAACTGGATATTAATTTCTACTACGAGCCCCACAAGTTTGGAAGATGAAATTATGGGAACAATTCTAAAAATTTTGTTTGTTATCTTTGTTGACTTAATGTCTATTATTTATGTTGTTGTAACTTCTTAGAATGTTGACTTTCCTTTATAAGTAAATTTCATATTGAATTCCCGTGAATAAAAATTTGTAGTTTAATGTGTTGAGTGATTTTAACTTGATGACATCTCCAGTTCTTCTAGCAACCAAGAGAATGATAGTACAATGGAAATACATTTAGCATTGTTTAGTACTTTATGGTTTATAAAGCATTCCCATAATTTGAAGTGGAATTTTTCCCTCCAAAATCTATACTACTGAGTCATAAGACTTTCTGATTTTTAGCACGATTGTTATGTGGTAAATTGACTAAAAATTTGTGGGTATAATTATGAATGAAATTGGTTTTTTTAAGGCTGCATACTTATGTGACATTTTATATGGTTCTATTTTTAACACACAAAGTTTAATATACAATAATCTTTTCATAGGATATACCAATAATTTTTACTTATTATAAACACATTTCATCTGTGTGTAGGTGGCAGTATGTCATTTAATGTAAGGCTCACAGTAATTGTAGAAGGTAAGTGTTTGTTATTTCCATGTTATAGATGAAGTACCTCAATCTTGGAAGAATTACACAAGCTTGAGAGCATAACTAGGAAGTAGTAGAACCAGATCTTGGGCTTTCAAAGATAAATAATAATAATAAGACAAGTGTAAAAACCAATCTGTAGAGCTCAACTTTTTTTTTTTCTTCACAATAATGTTTTACTAGTATTCAAGACCCTGTGGTTGTATTTTAGAATATTAGTCCACCCCCTTACCGGTGGGAATATGTTCTAAGACCTTCAGTGGATACCTGAAACCTCAAACAGTACTGATCCTATATATTCTTTGGGGTTTTTTGTTTTTTTAATACATATGTTGTAGTCCACAGAAACAGCACCACACTGGTGGGATCAGACTGGACTTGGGTTCAGCAGTCTCAATACTTGAGTTCTGGTTAGGAAAGAATTTAGAATCAAGACTCAAACTATAAGTGAACACTTATTTAGAAAATCACAGAGGTAGAAATAATTTGTGGAAGAAATGGGCTTAGGAAACTAATTATAGAGGTAAAGGAAAGGGCCCTTGGAGCCTGGAAGTGAGGAAGGTAATGGTGACTCACCTGAAGGGGGATTAGGAGTGGGGAAGGGATGTGCACCCGTATGCTCTCAAGAAGGAGAGTGCACTGGGTCCTCGTCCTAAGGGTTTTAAGGTGGAGATTTTAGGGGAGGTCCCAGGGGAAGATCTGAATACAATATTCAGCAGCTTTGCAGGTGTGTCCTTTCAGGGTCTAGGTTCCCACTGTTCGATCGGAGCCAGGACAGCGGGTCATTGTCCAAAGCATCTGGTCCCGAGGTCAGCCTTGGTGTTGCTTGTCTGGTTTTGCTGCTTTCTGGGCCTGGAGCTGAAATACAAGTTATCTTTGGGGAGGAAAGGTCAGGGGGTATAAACCACATGACCTACCAATGATATGCTAGGGGAGGAAAGGCCACCCTGGGAGTGAAGGCCTGCCCTACTATTGTCCTTTGCTAAGTACCTGGGGCTTTCCATCCTGGTGACCTTCTGTAACTGGCCCATCCTTGCTCTGTCCAAGTCTGTCTGTCTACCACAATATATACCTACTAGAGGCCTGGTGCACAAATTTGTGCATGGGAGGGGTTTAGAAGGGAGTAGGAAGGTGGGGTCAGGATGCCATCGGCCCTTTCAGCAGGTGGTGGGACACCCTTGTCGGCCCTAAGTCCAGATCCATCTCACTGACATTCGCACAGGTAGTGGAGAGCCACCTGGCAGTCGCTTTTATATCGTTTCTTTCTTGCAGAGCATCTAGGGAGGGGAAGCAGCCACAGTGCCTGAGGCTAACTTCCAGGAGGCAGGTGGTGCTGCCAGGATCATGCTAGTGGCGTGATTTGTCAGTGCCTGGCCTGTTCTATGGAGATTGGACCTGCAGGACTACTGAGGGAGTGAGTGGCAGTTGCCAGACTGGTGGGCCACCGGGACAGTTTGGTCAGTTTAGCAGCGTTCCCACTGTGGGAGAGCACTGACCACCAGGGGACAGTTTCTTTATTGAGCATCTGCCCCCTGGTGGTCAGTATGTGTCATAGCAACCAGCCCACCAATTGTTTGGTTGTTAGGTCGCTTAGGTTTATATATATAGATGATAAAGTTTAATTTAAAATAAGGCACAGTAAGAGATTAACACAATACCAAATAATAAAATAGAATGATTATAACAATATACTGCAATAAAAGTTATGCAAATGTGGTCCATCTCTCTTTCAAAATAGCTTACTGTACTATACCAATCCTTTCACTTAAAGCAGGGGTGGGGAACCTTTTTCTGGCCAAGGGCAATTTGGTATTTATAACATCATTCAAGAGTAATACAAAATTATCAACTTAAAAGTTAATCTACATTGACTCATAAACTGTGTCATTATCCTATATAATAAAAGTCTAATATGCAAATTGACTAAACAACTGGTTGGCAGGAGGTGGGGCTGGCAAGCAGGCAGCACCAGGCCAGCGGGCAGAGGGAAGGAATGGGGCAGCAGCAACCAGGGTTAGGGCAGCAGCGACCAGCAGTGGCAACCAGCAGCGGCACAGGAGCTATTGGGGGGGGAGGGCTGGACACTCACAGGCCGGTGCTGTCCCCTGCTTGGCCTGCCCGGTTGCCTCAAGCAGAGGAAGGCTAGACTGTAGTTTAGGCCCATTCCCTGCAGGAAGTGGGCCTAAGCTGTCAGTCAGACATCCCCTAAGGGCTCCCAGATTGTGAGAGGGTGCAGTCTGGGCTGAGAGACACCCTTATCCCCCTCTACACACACACACACCACCCTCCCTGTGTATGAATTTTTGTGCACTGGGCCTCTAGTAGTTTCCATAAGTTTATGTTGAGGAATCGAGCTGTCTTGAAAAATATTGTTTGGTTAATAATAAAACCTTGCTAGAAAAACAAAATAAGCCTGCTATATATGGTCTAAGATTTAATTAACTCACCCCTAATGCCTTGGCGGGGCCAGACCAAATGATTTCTCCGGCCTTATATGGCCAGCAAGACGGATATTCCCCACCCCTGACTTAAAGGAAGCATTTTAAGTAAAAGCTTCTCTTTGGCATATTCATGTTGCTAGCATCACTATCCTTGCCACTTGGGGCCATTATTAAATATAATAAGGGTTATTGGAACACTAGTACTGCGATACTCCAACAGTTAGGCTGGTACCTGAGATGCTTACTAGTGACCAATAGGCAGGGAGTGTACACAGTGTGGATATGTTGGACAAAGGATGCTTCACGCCCGGTGTAGGACCACTTGAGAATTCATCACACTGTCCAGTCAGTGTGCAATTTAAAACTTGTGAATTTCTTATTTCTGCAATTTTCAATTTAATAATTTTGGATCATGGGAGGTAGACCCCTTATAATTGAAACAGCAGAAAGCGAAGCCACAGATAAGGGGAGATGACTATATTGTTACTATTCCCTTTTATTCCACATTTTAAAATCTATAAATGTGGAATAAAAGGGAAAGTGTAATGTGCTAATTAGACCAGATGTCCTTCCGATGAAGCCAGGACTGCAAGGGAAGCCTGGGTCCCAGGTGCCAGAGAAGCTGGTGCTGGCAGCTGAGGGAAGGAAGGCCTACTCTTGCATAAATTTCGTGTATTGGGCCTCTAGTACTTTATAATAAGCAACATTCTTTACCCTTTTCTCATACCCAATTGGACAATGCATTCTCCTCCCCTGTTTTTTTTTTTTTTTTAAATTATTCCTTCTTTTCTGACAGTGTTAATATGTAACTGTTGAACATCTGCTTTTTAAGCTTCTGAAAAACACTCTGTCCTTTTGACTTTTTGTCTTTCTATATCGGATGCTCATACTCCACACAATTCTGTTTTCTTCCATGTGATGATGATCTCCTCAGATTTTGCCCAATCATTAATGCAAGGTTTCATAAGAGACTTAATGAAGTGTGAAAAGAAACTGGGACCTTTGAGACTCATTACTTAACAGACTCTTACTGAACCTTTCTGTGGGGTTGGATAGTTAACCCTAAGCCAAAAAGAGTCAAACTATTTGAGCATTTGTTGTGACAGAAAGTCCCGCTTTTTCTACACTTTATTGTTGGACCTTCCCTTTTGAACAAATAGGTCACCCCTGTTGATGTGATGGATTTCTCCCCAATTTCCTCTATTTGGGATTTGTTGGAGCCTTTCATCGGGCTACTGACAAGGGAGTAAAGTTACTCCCATCTTCAAGCAATTGCTTTTTTTCCCTGTGTGCTTGCAGGCAATGTGGTTTAGAAGCCTTGGCTTTGAATCCATACTGCCTGGGTCCAAATCTTGGCTTCTACTCTTACAGTTGAATAGCTCTATGTCTCTGCTTCCATACCTATGAAACAAGAGCCTATGTCACAGGTGTGTAGAGAGGATAAAATGAGATGATCTGTGTAGCATGCTTAGCACAGCTCTTGGCATTTGGAAAACCTGCAACCCATGGGGGATTGGTGTTGTCAACAACCTTGGGTGGAAGCAGAGGTGAGGTGGCTCCCTTTGTGCTGTGTGCAGAGTGTTATCGAACCTCAATCACCCTGCTTGCTCTACACTTCCCCCTTACCCTTAGCATGGCCTCACAGTCACCCCTTCTATTGGCCCTAATGTGTGATTCTATTGCAATGGACCCTGGCTTAGTTCTGTGAGGCACCTAGGTCTAAATTGGATGACCCTGCAAAGCTTCTTCTGGTTATGTTATTTGGGGACCTGGCAATGGTATTATAATATGGCTTAAAACAACAAATGATGCTTAATAAATATTTTTTTTTCAATAAGCAATGAGAGTCTTAATATTCAAGTATTGTGGCTTTGTCATTGAAAATTGGTTGCTTTTCCTTCATTCCTCAAAAAAATATTCGTTCAGTTCCTTTTTGCAAGGCCTGCTGCTGGACAGTCAGGTCAAAATAGCGAACAAACTATAGTTCCTGCTCTTGTCGAGTTCACAATCTAGTTGGGGGGAAATGAATGACTACCCAAATGATGCAACTGCAT